TCAGAAATATTGAAAACGTTTAAAACTAAACGGAATAAGTTTGTTTAAGGGTAAACTGCTTTAAATTACACGCCGTATCCAGCTTAAATATCACATAAACGAGGATTGAAAATAAATGATAGGTAAACCAAAATTTGCATAACAAATAAAGAAGAACCTTTACACATAATTATACACGGTTGATGAAAGCAGACACTGATGAAATTATAGATTTCCCCGATGATAGTGGTGATAAATTCACTTATACAGGAGATGGGTGATATAACATTGTATGCGTAAACATAAAATTACTGGGCATATTATAATCGTTTGTTAGTTTTTAGCAGAACTTAAAGTAGCTTGATTTTCAGCGGTGACTCAACGGCCGATTGGTTAAAGTTGCTTTTATCAGCTGGAACTCTTTGGCCCAGTGGTTAAAGTTGCTATTTTCAATGGGGCTTCCATGACCGAGTGGTAAAAGTTGTTGACTTTTGATCACATTCCTTCAATACTTTTGTATTTAAAAAACGCCAATGACTTGGAAGCTTGTCAATCAGCTTCTGGAAGGTCGGTTGTTCTACACGAGTGCCTGCTCGTGTGTGACAAATGCACAAAACGCCATCTAAGGTCTTCCTTCGCCCGTGAGCCGAATAGTTGATTATGATCTCCCCGGTGTTGGTGTGACCTTAAAGAAACTGATATTAGAGAATGATATATAATCATAAAGAAGTTTTAAGAAGCTTGCGTTAAATGTGAAACACGTTTCAACAAAGCTGACTTTATCATTATGACATATTTCTGTTGTAATTAGTGTTGTTGCTAATGTTGATGGAAGCTTAATGATAAAATCACATTTGACAGAGCAGCGTAAATCAATTCTAATTCCAAATACTGAAACGTTAATAAATTGTTTATCCTGCGTAAAATCTCACAGTTTATGATGTTTTTATGGGATAAAATTACAACCTATACACTTAGCATGTCACAGTCGTACACTTGATATTATTGCTTAAATGTTTTAAAAGCATTAAACAATTTGAAAGTGTAGTTAATATTTGTTGAATTCGATATAATTATGTCAATTCACATTTATTCATGTTTCTAAACGGTGAGGACAATACCCGTTCTTCATCATCGGCCTAATTTGATGGTATTTGCTCCAGTCATGCTGGGCATAGGGCAGAAGGGTGCTAGTCTAGACCTTTCGACAAGTATACCCGCATTGTATCGTTATTTTGTTTTGAAAGTTTATAATCCTTAGCTTAAGTGGTCAGTTTGTATATTTTGATGTAACCGGATTTTACATAGGAGGTTAGTTTGACCAGCCGCTTGCGAAATAATCCTTGTATATATGGTATTTGATGTACAGAGAAATAAATTTTGTATATTTCATAGCAATTACTATGTAAGGACAGGCATGAATCAGTGATATATATTTTAAGTCTGTTTGTAAAGTAATCATCCGTAATTTTAAAATAACACGCATAAACGCAATGATATAATATCAACCCATACAACGAAAGGACGCTGTAAAGCTTTTAGAATATAAATTATAAAATATAATATATTCTAAAAGTTTTACAGCGTCGTTTCGTTATATGGGTTGATAAACAACACTTTGTGTAGTAAAACTCTTCAAGTAATAGTCAATCTGTAAACATTTGCCAAATTTGTGAAATGTTTTGTCCTGTTTTGTATTTGGACCGAACTGTCCATTGTAAGATTTAGGGACTTCAATGTGAAAATTAAAAAAATGAACCCCCCAATATGACAAAACCGGGTCAGACTGCATGCAAGTATGTAATATACATTTGTTAATTGTTGCAATTGGTAACCTATACTGGAGACTCATTCCAGAAGAATTAAAGTTATCTTATTTTTTTTGGAGGAAGGAAAAAAGCAATACCAGACGTAACAAATGGTTCTTTGATATGCAAGTTGTATGCCACATTACACGGGCCGTTGTTTTTTAAAGTATTATCCGAAAGAGTTGATTGTAAATTTTAAGTTGTGTGTAGCGGCGGGTTTGAAATCTATATTTATGGTCAACCAGTTTTACCTTAAGATCAACATGACTAGTCCTCCTTAACATGAAAGTTCAAGCTGACATTACATTTGTATTACATTGTTTAATTATGCAAGTCATATCGATCGGAACAATCCAGCGGCTACGCTCCCTTCGCAGCTCACTGAATACACTCACGTTACTTAAGAAAGTGAGCGATAGTGGAACATTCGACCGATGCGCAGGAGAGTATCCAGCGGCCAAACAGCTCCGATTACTTGACACTTCTGTCATATTTATGTCTACATTATTTCAGATTTTTCCATAAACGATGCACTGGATTACAGTCCTTGTGTTACTTGTAATAACGGTTGGTTACCTTTTTACCGGGGCATCAGTTTTCCAAGCGCTGGAATCCGACAATGAGCAGGACACCAAAACTATGTCAAGGAATCTGGTTAAAAACTTTCTGAGTAAGTTATATGTTTTTAAGATATAGAATATTCTTGATAGCAGATGCATTTATATGGTAATAATTTAATTCATAAACATGACAGATCCAAAGTACGTGTTCAAGTTTGTCTGGAAAAAAGATATGGTAGGCGTAACTTCTCTTTCAATTACCAAATGATCTTAACATACATTTGGGATGTAATATTAGGTATAGAATGTTCGAAAATATTATTTATAGATTGCCTGTCTTGTATTTTAAATGCAAATATCACCATCTTTATTATTAGATATGCAAATATTTCTTTATTGACATGCTTAATATAAACATTAAAAGAAGATAAGATTTATTTAACACGACAAGGTCTACCTTATCTGTGAAAGTTAAACATATTATCCAAAATATGTATATTATATATTACAAACTTAAGATTCACAACATTGACTTATGTTTAATTTCTCTTTATATAACTGTATATCTAGCGTCTACGACATAGAAAACTTGAATTGAGTTAAACATCTATTTCTCTCCTCAATCTTTTAACTCCAGATGTCAATATTTTTTATTATAAATACATTTTATCATATTCACATTATATTGTTTTGGGTATTTTGATATTATCTATATGACAATTTAATGTAGATACAGGCTCAATTAACAACTAATGAGTTATCGGTTAATTTATATTATTGATAGCCAACCTCAAGGTTTATCATGCTTGATAATGGTAATAGCTTTTTGGCCTTAACATCAGATATGATTGAATGTATGCATTATTTACTTTACCTTGATTAGCTTAATTCGCGTAGTATTATAGAAACTTACTTTCTTGTTGGAAACTACATATAGTAATATAACATGATACCATCGTATGAGAATTCATTTTTTGTTCTTTTATAAATCACACATACAATGAATGTTAGGATAAATTCAAGTATGGTATCACTTTATCATTGCACACAATGGATTTTGCAATTCAAATAAATTGTCATGTAATTATTATTTAAAATAAATATTGTTTCTGGCTTCATACAAACTTATTCTGAAATAACATAGAGAGTAATTACAATCTATACTAGAAAGCTTAGTGATAAGGTGTAAGCAAAACAATACAGACAGACAACTGGGACCTCTGAACCATTTTCTCTTTCGCGAACTAGTGACACATTGGTAAGGACATGTTGAACACAGATTTAGTCGTTATAAGTTATCATACTAGTTTAAAATATCAATGTATCTCATAATCGGCTCTTTCCATCTGATCATACACCACTACACCACCGACCGATGCGCCTCGACACCGTCTATCTGCATTATCTTGCATCCATATATCATTATCATATGCAGTCATAATTCATCTTCATATATCATAATTATCATATCACAACCTTCATTCTGATCAGTATATATAATATTTATCATATGGAGGGGGTTAGGCATTATCACTGTCCAGTCCTGTTCTCATAAGGGCACGTGGCACGCTTGGTGCACATTATCATCATCACACCGACCACCATCATCATCATCACCACCACTATCACCACTACCATCATCATCATCATCACCACAACCATTTTCTATTTTATCATCATCCCCATCTATTCCATGGTCAACATTTTTTTCTTCATAAAAGATCAGAAAATTTAGTGAAATTTTATGTTTATAATTATTCTTCTAAAACAGTTTTCAAACATCTAAGAATATGTTAAATTAATACTGCAAATGTTTACTCGCATTATGTTTAATCATTAGAATATATGCATTCATTTCTTCTTTGACTAAGACTTTATAGAAAACAAATTTATAATTACCTCCCTTTATTTACATGAAATATAAATTCGATAATATCTTTACAAATAATGCTTTTTGGAACATACACTACTGATAAATCTTCATTTGAGCATCAAATTTATGATATAAAACCATAAAAAAATTTAGTTACCGGATTTTGAATATCATGATCTTCTTAATATATATTAATATGGTCTTGTTCTCCTCCTTTCCTATCTTCGTGATCTTTTTTCATTATCATTTCCTCCTTCTTCTCATTATTATAAGCATTATTGTTTTATAATTTTCCTTTCATGATAAATTAAAATGCTTTGTTCACGACTGGTTACTCTATTTTTGTTTATTTGAAACGAATGATTGTGAATCTGAATAGTTCACAACTTCATCTAGTTTTACAATCTTTTGAGTTGTTCTTAAATCTAGATTGTCGTCTCGGTGAGGGCCACACATAATGTAAGCTCCCTTCGCAGCTCAGTGAATACACTCCGTTGCTTCACAAGAAGCGAGCAATAGTGTATCATTCGGCCGAGAGTACAAATAATGGTGTACTCAGTACTTAGTCAAACTGTTGTTGTTGTTGTTGTTGTTTTATATTTGTTTTTTTTTCTTTTGTTGTTTTTAGCATGTTTTTAAGTACTTACTGAAGGTTTAAATTTCAGTAATATAATTATGATTATGAATTAGAAGGAGTAATATATTAACATTTTTTATTCTCGCTTAAAATTATCAAAGTTGGAACATTTTACCGCGAATAAAAACCGTGTAGTCAATTCGTTTCAGGTTATGGTCACATAGCTCCATCAACACAACAAGGTAGAATATTTTGTATCTTCTATGCAATGATTGGTATACCACTTGTCGGTGTGTTCCTGGCGGCCATAGGACAAACGTTATCCATACCATTGAAGAAATTTCGGAAACGATCGAAATCAAAATGGCAACGTGTGCTGAAGACTGTTATTATATCAATTGTTGGATGTTGTGTACTTGTGCTCCTGCCAGCTTATGGCTTCCACAGAGCTGAAGAATGGTCATTGTATGAATCTATTTATTACGCTGTTATAACATTAACCACTGTAGGGTTCGGAGACTATGTTGTAGGTATGGGTTCTTTATTGTACTAAGAAAATACTTATTTTTTTATTTGCTGAATTAGAGACATAGCTAGTTTTGATTTTGGAACCGACAGTTGTAAGTGGAACGTGGTTGCTTTTCATTTTGCTTCTGGTATTAAGCGATGTATGTTACATAGAAAATATCTTTAACATAAATAGTTGTCTTAGATATGATTCAAGTGCCGAAATTACGACGGATTCACAAAATCCTGACACTAAAGAAAGATAAATGGTCACGACTACGTTTCTTCAGACAAAATCAGTACTTGTAACTTCAAGGAAGTGGACTCGATAGTGATAAATATAAGTTGCAAGAGCATGTTACGCAATGAGCTGAAACGAAATAAGTTTCAAATAAATTTAATACTTTTTCAAGTAACGAACCTGCTTCTTCTGTTGTTTTTTTGTGTTTTTTTTCTTGTTGTTGTTAATTGCATCATCCATTATTTTCTGAGCAGGTCAGACTAAAGACTCATACGCAGTGTGGTACCGGATGGTCACATTAGTGTGGATATTTGTTGGTTTATCATGGTTTGCAGTTATATTGTCAGATATAGGAGATTATTTCACAGATAAAGTGAAAGAAAATGAGCAGTCTATTCGAAGGAGGAAACCTCAAGTATGTATTTTCTACACTTCTCTTTCATTTACTATTGTCTTTGTCAATTCTTACGCCATTACATATGCGAACATTGTAGACCGCGATGTGCCAGCTGATCTTGGTCTGTTCTGGTCGCATATGTAGTTACCAGGTTCAGCTGGCAATCTAGTGGGTAAATAGAAACCAAAATACTGATTTTATCAAATTTTCATTCAAAATAAACTATTATCTGGTCAATACATTTATGCAAATTTTATGTGTCACTATTTAGCTCAAGAAGTATACAGAATTTCTAAGTAGCCAAGTGCACACTTTTATGCAATTGAGTATCTATGAATAACAAAATAAATATCTTGAAAAAGTGATCCTTCGGAAGCATTAAAAACAGCAAAATTACATGAAAATTACAGACTCGGTTTGATTGAGTCTGTACATGAGGGATAAAACTTACGTAAGAATCTCGTAAGCCTTATCTTCCTTTGGACATTTTCTCGGGTAAGATATTGTATTAATGAATGAATTGACTAAAACTCTGAAATTGAGAGATCAATATTTCATGTATTAGTAATTCTGTTCATAAGTTCAAAGGTTTCACCGATATATTTGCAACATTAACCATGATCATTAGTAGCGGCTATAGAAATAAGAATTAAATCTTCGATGCTAAAGGTATTAGAGCTAATGATCCCGAAAAGGACCAGAACAATTCCAATTAAGATATTGTTATTTAATGATTTTGCTATTAATTATGACAATAATTTTATTTCTATCATTTACAGGAGGTAGATACAATCAGATCTAGGAAAAGTTCGCGTAGTAATGGACAATATAATAGTGCCTTCTCACAAATCTGACAGCGTTTGTGTTACTAAAGACTATACAAAATATATAGACAAAGTGGTCACTTCAAACGTAGTGTCGTCTGCTGCAGTGACTTTTAACGTCATATTAGCCGCGTCACGACAAAACCAACATAATGGGTTTGCGACCACCATGGATCCAGACCAGCCTGCGCATCCGCGCAGTCTGATCAGGATCCATGATGTTCGCTATCAGTTTCTCTGCTTGTAATAGGGTTTGTAAGCGAACAGCATGGATCCTGATCAGACTGCGCGGACGCGCTGGCTGGTCTGGATCCATGCTGGTCGGAAACCCATTATGTTGGTTTTGTCGTGACGCGGCTCAAAAATTATATGCAATGCAGCGAGGGAAGTACCTCACAGTGATCGAGTTGCCTAAAGAATCTTCAGCAATAAATTATTGATGAGCAGCATTTAAATTTTATGCAAGAAAGACGATTTTTAGATTACATTAATTTACTATATAAGTCAAGACTTTAAGAGTCAACATCTCGTGTGGGGGTGGGGGGAGTGGTTAAATTGAATCGTTAGGTAAATTTATTTTTTAGGTGCAATCAGTGTGAAAATGTCCTATGGAGTATTAATGTTTCATAAATCTCGTAAGCTGTAATTTAAGGACATTTTGACCCTGAAATGATTTTATTTCTTTTTCTCAAATTTTTATTTTTGGTTTTCAGATGTAGTTTAAAAATTACTCTATCTACCATTTACCTGAAGGACTTTCTGCTTATTTTGCTTTTCGTAATGAATACAGTTATAGTAGTTTAGTATTTTGTATGGAAGTCAAAACACTACTTTGTTTACATTTACTATATTTATTACAAATAATGTCACATTCAACACCGCTTTTTGCGGGTAATAAGTATCTAAAATTTTGTAAAACCATTATTTGAACGTTAACTAACGTATGCCCTTTCCCTTCTAAATTAGTTATTTCTTAGGCATAATGTGCCTTTAAACAAAAAAACATTTTATTGGAAAAGGAAATAAAGCATGTTTTGCCATAAAACGATCTTCCCTCGAAAGGTTTAATTAGATTTCAGTTAATGCAGACGCCCTGCTTTTTTGTGCTGTCTTTTGGTATTTGCTTTTGCCTCCTTTGCTTGTTTAGTTTCAACACCTACCGTTTATATTGTTTAACAGTTTAACCCTAAGCCTCCTAAGAGTTTTCGCAGCAACATTTTGCAAACATTATTGTGTCAGACTAAACATCGAATACCACAGCGCTTTTCCTAGCAAACTTCTTGACCCACTTTTACAATTAAAAAAAAAAAGAATATATAAAAAATTCGGAAGACGAAATTTTTAGTAGACGACAATTTTTCCAGCGTTTATATCCAGTCGATCTTTGAATATCTAAATAGTCGACATATAGATTATATTTATTGTTTTGAATTATTTGCTGGATATTACATTTTTCTTTCAATCTAGTACCGAAAAACTTTTTATTTTTATTTTTGATACATGAATTCTCAGTTAAATGATTAATAGTGCACGCAATACAATTTATGCATTCAAGGGATGTATTATTACAAATTATGCTCGAATGTTTAATAACCATTTTAATTAAGTAATAAAGAATTCGTTTTAAACATTCGAACAATAGCATATATGATATATGTAAATAAAGTGAAAGTTAATGACGGTGCTTATTTTGTTCACCACCATGTCCTTCTTATGGTGATAAGTACAATGTAATGATTAATTGATATCAGTTTTACGTAAAATCATTTCCATGTTTAACATCAGTAGTCTCACCCTTGGAGCAGATTTAAGCTGAAGTACGCAATATGAATGTTTTACATGATATTATGTTTAACCATAATTTATTATTGCTTTGTGTTTTGATTTACAAGTATACATATAAAGGAATAAATTTATAAATAAATCAGTGTTATTTATAACCTCATTTCACTGTCAGATGTTTAAAATGAGTGCAGTGTGCAAAAATACATTGTGTTGATTAGAATTTCGAAATGTTGAATTTAAAAACAAGGTCAAGTTAGATAATTTCACACAATAAACTCATAACTGCACATAAAAAATCGTTTCGACGGCAATTTTGTCCTCTTAGTGTAAAAATTATATTAGGTCTTAAGTAAGTCTATATGAATAATTTAATATTTTTAAAAATTTGGTGAAAGAAAATAATTTATATTTGATTAATGATGTGATATCTCTGCATAATGTATTACATTTAATATAGATATAAAAATATTAAAGTAAGGGTTGGCTTAGGTTTCTATGACGTCAGATTTTCCAATATTTTGTAAAAAATTTATATGTAAAGTTTTTTATGAATACCGATTCATTTGTTTTTAATATTTTTCTTAATCTTGTTAATCTTGTTAATTAATCATCTGAAAATTGAAAGCTTTACTCATTTTTAATGAACTGTATTCTGTTATGGAAACATTTCTAAAAAATAGTAGTTATTTAGATATTTCTCGAGTAACGACTATCGTTGAGTGAATGAGTGTTCCAGAATTTTTGGTAAACTGGGCGGACGATGGAATTTTGAAAAAAAAGATGTTCTAATCTATCTACAAACGATTCAGCGACCCAACTTGTTTTAATCGCGTGTTTGAAGGTACATTTCACCACACCGGCCCACTAAACTTGAAATAGAGATAGGAACAAACTAAAATTACTATTTTATAACACATCCCAATTCGTACTTGCATATATGCGGAACTTACAACAACGACCGACAACAACACCAATCAAAGCATACACATAAAAAGTTTCGTCGCATTAACCAACTAAATAACATACGAAAATGCTTTTAAGTAATTGCAAAATATGTAAATGGTTAAATGTATCCGGTGTTTAAGACGACAGATAACAGGAAACAAATATTCTTTGAAATTTCTAAGAAACTTTAACAACCCCGCAACTACCCCCTTCCAGACGCATACTCCCCGTCCCCTGAAAATTCATTCTATATAAAGTAATGCAAACTTATCCTCTTTCTGTACTTCGAATTTATTAAAAGATTGAACCATGACGCTGTTTGTAGATATAAAAATCTAATTTTAAAAAGAAGCAAAATGAAGACTTTATTTATCGTCTGCACAATCTTCGCCTATGCCATCTATGGTAAGTCAATTATGTATTTATTTACTTTTTGTTTCATTGTTTTATACTTAGAGTATGTTCATATTATAAACTACTTGCCTCTCCCCACTGTAGGTTCAAGTCGCGCAGGTGTCTGGATTCTTTCATGTGAGAAAGCTATACAGCTAGCTTACGGAACGTCCGTGGTTCTACTCAGGTGCCCGTTTGTACCTGAAATAATGTACAGAGGGACACCTGAGGTCTCCCTCCACCAGTAAAGCTATGATACCTATATGCTGAGTTGGTGCGACGTAAAGCCGAATAAAAAAATGTTAAGATTTTAGAATAACAATGTATCAACATACAACCTGTCTTTAGAATTGTAAAGACAGATCAACTTACTATTATTTGAATATCATAGCAAACATTTTTATGTTTGTAACCAAGTTCAGCATTCCTCATTTCATACTAAATTTATTAAAATATTTGTTTTTCATGTAATTTGTCTGCATTTTATTTTCTTCTAAATTCTTTATTCTCTTTTGTTTGTTTGTTTGTTTGTTTGTTTGTTTGTTTGTTTGTATTTTATTTATTTATTTATTTATTTGTTTCTTGATGTCTTTTTACTTTTCAAATTTCTGAAATAATATCACGTAGACAGCTAATGATGATTCGATTTTTCTAATAAATATCTAATGTCAAATAAATATATTTGAAATATTTTATATTTTTTAAAGATTTTTTCACCATAAAATCGGCGAAAAAGCTGACTGCATTAAGAATTATTTCAACATTGCTTTATGTACTAAACTAAAGAAAAGAAAAGCGGAGGCTAGGGCTTTTTATCTAGTTTTTAGATAAGATAAGACAAGATAAGATAAGATAAACGTTTAATGTGCCTTAACATGTAAATAACATTCTGAATACTTAAACTATCATCAAATGAAATTGCATGGAAATTACGGGTTTTTTGTTGTTTCTTTTTTGTTCATTTTTGTGAGTTTATTTTTTATCATTAATTAATTTATAATTAATTAATTAATTAATTAATTAATTAATTAATTAATTAATTTATTTATTTATTTATTTATTTATTTATTTATTTATTCAAATTTATTTATTCATTTATTTATTTATTTATTAACTTACTTATTTAATCTTTATTTATAAAGTTATATATTGCAGTTCTGGGTTTTCATATTTTAAGGTCCTAAATTAACCTCAAATTGCTTGCGTTCAAAACGATTAATCATAGTGACTGCAAAGACATTTCCAATAGGCGTACAAGGCGTACATAAATGGCCAGCAAAATCATTTATTTCCCTTATTTCATGAGAATCATTGCTTGATTTTAGCTTACATGAAATAAGATGAAACTTGTTCATTCCAAATCACTTTCCTTTGTAGAACTTTTTCATTGGCTTCTTTTATTTAAAGTGCATTCTTATTTGCCTTATTTCAGTTTTAGCACAACACCAACATTGTCATTCAGATCCGGAATGTGCGAATGTCACGTGCATTGACAATACTCACAGCGCCTACTGTCACTCACACGAGTGTCACTGTCACGACGAGCACGAGTGTTACGATAACAGCGATTGTACACACTGCGGTGATACTGGATACAGCTGTGACAACCATCATTGTCACGGTCCAAAATGTACACACAATAGAAAATAAATCCGTGACATCATAATGTAAGTAATATCTCATCATAATGATGACGTCATTATACTTTTTAAGAATGTTGTTGCTTTTGTTTAGTTTAAAGTCATGCCCCCACTGTAAAGATAATGTGGCGACTTACAAGCATTATTTGTTGTAAAAGACTTTAGTTTATCGCATCTTTTCGGCCTTTTCCGTCAAACTTCGGATAAGATGTATTCTTATAAATAATAGCCGGGGTGTTCCGATTAAACATCGTGACCGAACTACTGAATATATTCGGTCTGCTACCTGGATAGTTTCCCTCAGCTGAGTTTTAGGTTTTTATATCCCTTTAAATGAACGGTTCCAAATTCAAAGCAGGGTATGTTTCCCAGAATAAATATCATATATTTTCTTCAATAACTGATGTTGTGATCTGATTTCAATTTTAATTGATTTCTAGACCATATATCTACATATAATGTATTTTTTAATCTGAATCGCTGTGTGGTTGAAAATTGGAGGAAAAAAGTTTATTTCATGATAAAACGGACCATTTCATCGCTAAATTCAGTAACTGGGAAACGCCGCCACAAATACATTTGATCAAATCTACATGGCATCAGCATCATCCGAATTTTCGTTATTTGTGTAAGAGTTATAAACATACTATAAAATGATAACTTTGTATATCTTTTAATTATCATTTTCTTTTAGCGAATGCACTAAGCTCGCATGTAGCCGACTAGAGAAGTTTACTTGTATACCTCGAAAGAGGTGCTCTTGTTTAGACACAGGATTGACGATACATCGGTGAGAGGCAAGTGGCAAAGGTCAGCGACATGATACACCCTCCTGCATACGGGCAATCCCCCCAACAATCGCTCAAACTTATCATTTCACTTATTATACATATACTTATTATTAGGACAAGGAATTATATGAGTATGAAGATTGATTTGTAAATGAATAATAGTGTTTGTTAAAAGTGGGAAATTATAGCGTAAAATTGTTTCATATTACATTAATATTTAAATTCAAATTATTTCAGATATTGCAAAGATTTCATAATAGTGAAGGTGGAACTGAAAGCAGAAGGAGTGAAATAATATTTATATGAGAGCAGTTTATTTATATATTATTCGTTGATTTTACACAATAAAAATGTTTGTCAAGTCATACAGCTATTGTTATTCCCGTATAGATTTTCGTTTATGTTCGTTTATTCTTTGTTTACATGAATGTCACTTTCATTTGATAAATGAATTATTGAAAGTAAAGACAAGATACGGTATTAGGTAAACCTATATAAAGTCATGTGTAGGACCATTAGTAAATGAGCCGCGTCATGACAAAACCAACATAATGCGTTTGCGACCAGCATGGATCCAGAGCAGCCTGCGCATCCGCGCAGTCTGATCAGGATCCATGCTGTTCGCTATCAGTTTCTCTACTTGTTACAGTGTGTGTAAGCGAACAGCATGGATCCTGAACAGACTGCGCAGATGCGCAGGCTGGTCTGGATCCATGGTGGTCGCAAACCCATTATGTTAGATTTGTCATGGCACGGCTCAAATTATGAACAGTCTTTATTTATTCAAGATACAATATGCGTCAGAAACGAATGATTTTTTCCTTCACATAAGTTTTATAAAATTTGAATAATGGTTTTCAGAGCACGATAGATGCGTATCAACCGAAGAAAAGTAGCTATGGTTGTGAAATTATTTGTCATAAAGGTAGCAAAATTTAAACTAAGTAATACTTTGACCCCCATTAAAAATTCTAAATCTCTGTAATTGTACTAATTGCCAAAAGGCAACAGGACCAAAAGATGTTCCGAGTAGTTACTTTTTGAAAGGTAGAGCAAGTCATCCAAAATAGAAAGCTTTTGAGAAATAAAACTAAAGGCTTTTCAGAGGCATAATGTGCTCATGTGCCTTTAAATGTAAGCATGAAATGTAAGTTATGATTAACATCCGGATGGTTTAAAGATTTAACCCCTCGAAACGTTGTTTACAGTGGCAATGGTTTACACAAAATCTTGCAGTTGTACTGACTTAAATTGCTATCTTCATCAATAGCAGATTGATACTGGTAAAACAAGTTCATAACATCACCAAACTTGCCTGTATGTATACTCAAATTAAAGATAAAAATCAAAATGAAACAGTTGCCTTTTGGTTAAGATATGTGCCTTGCAACCCTGGCATCTTGGGTTCAAGTCTTCATGGGGTTGTTCTCATATGGCACTAGGACTTGTTAGTTCGGAGAGGCAAACTCCAGAGCGAGCGGTTTAAACAACCTTCAAGCTTATATCACAATCAAAATAAGTTAAAGCAAACTTTTAATCAAAATTTCAATAATATCAAAATTTAAATCGAAATTAGAATGTGTTTATATGTCCTGTGTTTATCAATGCCATACATACAGGTCATCCTTGTTTTGTTCATAATATTATGTTTGTCTTCCATTTTGCACGGAGTTGTACTTTTTGAACTTTTGTTTCCTAAAAAAGTCACGATTTATTTACATATTTTCGAAAGGAAGACATGTAAATAACGAAAAACGGTCACGTCCATAATCGGAATATAGGCATATCTACTGTGTACTGTTAGGGTTAGTAAATATGTCGCCTATTGGCATGCGTCTAAATCACTTGTATAACACTTTTCATTAGCTCAAGAAGCGAGGTGTAACATTTCCGCGAAAGTCTGCGACATCATTCGTGAAAATTAATTCTCGCGAAAATCAAAAAATGTTCTTGCGAGACTTTTTCATACCCTCGCAAAAACTAATTCCCAAATGTTTCGTTCGGAGAACCCTCGGTTGTGATCACGGGTACTGGGGAAAATAGCCGAAGTTTTCCGAAAGAGACATTCGGGAATTAAGATTGACTTTTGCGATGGTAAAAACAATTATCAGCAAACCCAGCAAGTGTTTGTTCGTGTAATATTGCAGCACAAACTCTGGAAGTATTTTACCACGCAACAATTGAAGAAATGAAGAAATAAGTAATATAAAATTCAAATTAGATGGTGCTTAGTGCAGGGACAATGTATGCTTTCTCCTGTTAATTTATCAATGTTAGGCATACTTTAAATACAGGTCATCTTTGTTTTGTTTAAAAGTTTATCTTTTATCTGGCACACGTAGATGTACTTCTTAAACGTATGTTGCCTTCTCAAGATGTGTTTATGACACATTTACTAAACATTTTCAAAACATCGGAGCAAAAACAGACACGTACCTAAACCTGTTATAAAATAATTTGAAAGTTTATTACCATCCGAGTATATATGAACATATAACGTCCAAAACAATATCAATTTCATAACTAAAAGATATATAATATAATTAATTATATACTAGGGTCAAAAAATCAAAAAGTTATCAGAAAAGTATATCTAGCTATGATTTATATAGGTGTTATATAACATAAATTACATTTATTTATATTCCATGTGCATCGTTTACCAGAATTGTGACTATATCAATTCTTCCTATAAATAATGTAATACTTGTTTGAAATTGTCAGAAGGAACTAAAATATTTTTTCTCATAATTGCAGAGACACATTTTTATGAAAGTTATTTTATGCAGAATTCGACTTAGTCTAATTGTGTAGTAATCTATAAGTTTATAGACACACTCTCGGATCCGTTCATAGAACCAACCAGTACTGAGCAATGAGTGTAAAGTTCCTTTGCTCAAGAAAACAATGGTTTGTCCCTGAAGGGATTTGAACCTACGCGGGAAGTAATCCTGATATCATAGTTTCTACACCTTAATTTACACGACAAACGCGTCCGTTTGGCTGCTTTGTCATTATTTGTTGGCGTCATCTTATGTGAATGCATTATCACATTGTTAAATATTTCAAATTAACCACTTCCCGTTTGTCATAGTAGCAAACATACAATATTTAAATTGATTGCCAATGTTGGTAATGTAGATAATTTCTTGCATGCAAAATATCGCAAGTGCCATTGTTTTGCACGATTTTTGATATGCGTGGCCCAGGGGGCCAAGTAAAAAAAGCTTTCTGCTATGACGGCCACGGTTGTCAAACGCGTCCTTGCGCTCATACAGATGGTAATGCACGAACGGAGTGTATTAATGCTCTTATAAGGGATCAGAAAGATTGTGTGCCTGTTACAAACTGGAATGATTTTCCTGCTAAACGAAAATCAAAAGATGTCAAAGAAAGGAGTTACACAAAATGTCACATCAGAACATGAACAGTCACACTTGCTCATCTTATCTTGTTTACATTTAAAATATTTCACCTTGCACCACTTACAATATAGAGTTTTGAACTAATTTCAATCAATTATAGAACTCTATAGCACGATTGTTTTGATAAACAAGATATCTTGGTGCCAAATCTAAACCGATATGTTGCAGATGACTATTATATAAAGGGCTCAGTATTGTAAAACTTCATAAACATTTCATCGACATTTTAGAAAAGGTAAGTCTTGTTGCATAATATAATTATAAGATTTACTGTTTCTTAAAATTTATCATCTATAGATTCTTTTCTTCGATGCTTGGGAGCAAAATTTTACTCAGCGATTTAAAATTAATAAAAATTAAATATAAGATATTAAATTTATACAATTTTTAAAGGGTATAAATATATGTCTTATGAAATATTCTTATAAAATTTATCAACAGTACAATTATATTGGTTCCATTATTATATGGCTGATTCCCGAAAAAGTTGTATCATAGAATGTCTCTGTTATTTAATACACATGAAAAATGTACGTAAATATAATAAAATGTTCCGGAACAAAATATTATTTTGCTATTGTAAGTAGGATTTTATCCGTTTAGCAATGACTTTGTGCATGCGCCACTCGCTTTAAGGCAATTTATTGCCATTTTTAATTCATACAAACATTTTGAAAGTATTCTTTTTTAAAATCCGAACACTTTTTTTTGTGCATCAAAAACTTATAGCTTTATACTTTTTTAAAGATAATATCGATCGATTACAAGGAGAAAAACTGCTCCCTTTAAAAAACAGTAATTAAGATAAACTAATATGACACTTTTAATTGTTCTTTTGCTTCAAATCGAAAATTTGACGCCAGCTCTTAAATTGATATTGGGACAAAACGACAATCATTAATCCTTTTTATTTCCACTGAAGTTTTGTAAAGCAAAACGCGTGTGCTACTAAACTTTATCGAATGACTTCGCCCGAGGATTGAAGCATATCTAGAATTTCAAAATTCTATAAAATATGATACGAAATACATTGAACAAATCATGTTTAAGAATTAAAGAACACAAACCGTGACGTTTTAAAGCCAAACTTTTATAATCTTTTATCAGAAAAGAAGAATGAATATCTGTGACGTACATTTATTGGTTGGATTGATGGGAGCTGCAATTGCATACCCTGAGGTAAATATTTTCATCATAACTTTATTTAAATACAAACTGAATATAGGTCTCCTTTCAAAAATAATATCATAGTCTTTTCTAGAAATATATTTTACGCAAAAGTAACTTCTTAAAGAAATCTTTATTTCCCGAAATATACTTTTATATTTATCTAACTTAGCTATACCGAAATGTATTGAAAAAGTACACTGTCATACCGGCATTTCCCCGGGAGAATATAATCATATTTCAAATTATAGACACGATTGACCAACAGTCGACATAAAATAAGCAATACACGAAAAACAATAGTAAATGCCATCTGAATGGTTAATTTGCATGCATGGCTAATTTGTTAGTTCATTTGATTGGAGCCATTTTATACGAACAAGACTGTATCGTACGCGGTATGACACCATGCATATGTGTTCACATATTATGTTTCTCTTACAGTAAAGTGTAAGACATATTACATAATGGCCTAAATTTGCTTCCGAAGTTTACATTTACGAACATAATTGAATCGTATATTAGAATATATAGACATATATAAGTGAATGCTATAATAGAATAATATACTATTTACATAACTACATTACTTGTTATTCACTTATTCTTTTTCTAATTTAGTATAATTGATTTTATGTTGTAACTTAACGTTACTGTTTATTTACAATCACGCAGTTCCAAAGGATACGTGTTTTCCACAATCGTATGTTTGCTGATGAAGATGTGATGGTTGACGAGGCGGAAGGATATGTTATGGTCACTGTTTCACATATAAACGGAACCGGAATACCTACTATTAACTTACACGACGCACGTGCGGTGAGTATCCTTTTTTGTTCATTTGTCAGTTGCAATGAATGTCCCGAGGGATCACTTTGTTTCCAGATTTTAATATATTTTGTTTTCATTTTTTTTTCATTAGTCACACTTGCACAAAAATATCATACTGAGTAAATAAATAAAACTTAAACGAAATATGAATACCAGTAACACATATTGAACAGAATAATAATTCAACTTTGTCAGATTCGTATCCCCTTTGTGACTGATGGGATTGCCTATACAAATTGAGGCATTAGAATTTCAGCCGTAAGAGGCGACTAAATTAGTTTGAATTATTGGAGTCTAAACATCTCTTGGCTCCAGCACACGCATACTAAACGGTGGCTCTTTCACATTTTGGTGATCTGTTTAAATGAGAGCCATCGACACTTTCGTTGCAGAGCCCTCGATGACAACAAGTCTGAAAGAGGTACGAAATTTTAGTAAAATTATCAATTTAAAAAGATCATGCTTGTTTTTCAAAAATCGAAGAATGTAATGCCACGTAGAACATTTTTATCATCATCGTTGGGTGCAGTTTCGATAAGAAATACCCTGAAATGACGTTGCTAGAACTTTTACCAAATATAACCTTGTGGGTTTTCTTTTACGAGGAGACACATTTTGAGTGATTTCCCACCGTAAAGTAGATGCTGGCCCACTTAATCGTGCATATAGCATTGTCCTAACCTCCTCCTTGGACCAACACAAAAAATAACTTACAGAACTTAGTTGAAAACCAAATAATCACATTTTTATTATTGTGATCGAGTCATCGACAAGGTGCTGGCGCCATCGGCAATGTGAATGAGCCCTCAAAAATGTGATGAAGCCAACAATATCATTCATTTTGTGATAATATGATGGAGTGTAACCGTTATTATTCGTAACTGATTAACATACATGTATACAATTCCATATGCGTCGTATCACTGGGATGACATATTGAAATTAAATACTTACGCGATTTGATCATTCGAATTCATTAAAATCGAAGTAAAACCTCTTTGTATTTATAAGATATTAACAGATTAGGCACACAAAAAGTTTTTTACTTTTAGTCGGTAAAGTTTCAGTTTTTCATTTTGAAATTTATGTAAATCACAGGTGGAATCTCGATATGAATAAGGGGATACAAAAACGATTTTCGTGTGATTTGTGTGGAAAGACGTACGCCAATAAGGCCAGGGTTAAACTTCATATAAAAAAAACTATCATGAGCAGCCGGCGACCAGTACATTATGTGGTTTATGTGATGCGCGATACGCAACACCATCTTCTCTTAAAAGGCACGTTGAACGTGTACAAGGGAACTTGTGTGCACGATTGAAGAATGCAATAGTTCATTATACACAAAGAAAGACAGGACGGACCACATACGGAAAAAACAAAATGTCAATAAGCTGAATTGTGAAAGTGTGAGAAAAAGTTTGCTAATGAACGCAACTTAAAACGACACCTCCAAAGATGCGGAAAAAGTATAAAGAAGAGTCACACATGCAAGTATTGTACCAAACAGAGGCATTTTTCCGTATGTGGTCCGTCAGCGTTCAACGTGCCTTTTAAGAGAAGATGGTGTTGCGTATCGCGCATCACATAAACCACATAATGTACTGGTCGCCGCCTGCTCATGATAGATTTTTTATATGAAATTTAACCCTGGCCTTATTGGCGTACGTCTTTCCGAAAATCTTTTTTGTATCCCCTTATTCATATCGAGATTCCACCTGAGATTTACATAAATTTCAAAATGAAAAACTGAAACTTTACCGACTAAAAGTAAAAAACTATTTGTGTGTGCATAATCTGTTAATATTTTATACAAAGAGGTTTTAATGAATTCGAATGATCAAATCGCGTAAGTATTTTATTTCAATATGTCATCCCAGTGATACGATGCATATGAAATTGTATACATGTATGTTAATCAGTTACGAATAATAACGGTTACACTCCATCATATTATCACAAAATGAATGATATTGTTGGCTCCATCACATTTTTGAGGGCTCATTCACATTGCCGATGGCGCCAGCACCTTGTCGATGGCTCGATCACAATAATAAAAATGTGATTATTTGGTTTTCAACTAAGTTCTGTAAGTTATTTTTGTGTTGGTCCAAGGAGGAGGTTAGGACAATGCTATATGCACGATTAAGTGGGCCAGCATCTACTTTACGGTGGGAAATCACTCAAAATGTGTCTCCTCGTAAAAGAAAACCCACAAGGTTATATTTGGTAAAAGTTCAAGCAACGTCATTTCAGGGTATTTCTAATCGAAACTGCACCCAACATGATGAGAAAAATGTTCTACGTGGCATGACATTCTTCGATTTTTGAAAAACAAGCATGATATTTTTAAATTGACAATTTTACTAAAATTTCGTACCTCTTTCAGACTTGTTTTCATCGAGGGCTCTGCAACGGAAGTGTCAATGGCTCTCATTTAAACAAATCACCGAAATGTGAAAGAGCCACCGTTTAGTAGGCGTGCAGCAGGTGAGATGGTTTTAACTTCTGGTGTTGCTTAAAGTTTAAAACACCAAAGGTTAGCCTAAATTATCTTTCCTAATTCGGCGACATATGACCTAAACTGTGTTGGTGTGTCGGAAACCATACAAAAACAACAACAACGACAACAAAACACAAAATACAACAACAAAAAACGAACAAAACATTGTATATAGATCTTCAAAATAAATGGTGACATACTTGTTAATTCACTCTGATTAAACGATTTCAATTTTAGTGTCCTATTGTAAGTCATCTTTGAGAAACAAATATATTTCTGAAAAAGTAAATCTGTACACGTAATCCGGGGCATCTTCTCTCAATACCAATAAATTTTATTAAATTGCACATTATTTACAAATATATATTTCACAGGGTTTCAGCGTTTTGAAGGATGTTATGCACGGGAAATGTCACATACACAAATCTTCCCATACTATGTCAGATATGAAAAATAGGATAGATAGAATCGGACATGTAAGTTTATTGGTCCTAATATTATTACATTTGTATGTTTAAAACTGAATATTGCTAATAACGGTTCAAGGGACTAGGGGCGTTTTGCTTTTTTCATGGTTTTTTGTAAAACTGAATCTGATATTTTCAAAGCAGACGCTCATCCATGTATATTTTCCATTTCTTTATTAGTTTACATGTTGAAATACATGTTGGGTTTTTTTTAAAATAGCTCAACTAAGTCATGAATAGTAAGTAATTTGATTGACAATTTGAAAATTGTACATCATTTGATTTTAAAGGATTTTTGAATGGAGGTCAAAAGTTTAATCTTTACCGTTATATTATATTATATTCCACTAGGCCAGAAGCAATACGTTCTTAATATATGATCACAATAAAATTTCTTCTTTCAGAATGGTGGAAATGAAAGGATATCGCAAATCTTTAAAGTTGTTTCAAACAGTCCCATTCCGTCACAAAACTTATCTTTCTATGGGGATAAAATAGCAAGTTTTTGTAAAAACTACGAATCATACTTTATGGTACGTTCGCAAGTCGTGACAAAGAGGGATATGATGTATCTCGCATCGGATTGTAAGTCGGGTTTTTTACCTCAAAGTTTCTAGAGATGAGCTTTTGTCATATACGTTATAGGATAACTGAAAAGAAGCAGTCAGTTAAGTACATAATTGTCGGACTACATTTATAGGCTATGGATGTCTACACGGCTCTTTATTATAACATATTCATTCTAAAGTCTAAATGTCCTTAAATTATCATATCGATTTAGATTTAACAAAATCACGCGAGATGATAAGCCGAGACCTTTGGAATATATAAGTTGTTTTTTTTTATTTAAAATCATATCTGATTTTGTTTGCAGTGGCTGCAGAAGCAAGATGGTGTTTTATTTGCATTACAATAACGAAAGAACTGGCTAAACAGGAGAGTTTAAACATGCTACCTGATGGACTGAGTAAAGAGCCAATTGGGGGACAATTGTGTGTGGACTGTCTTGGAAAGCGTTAATATATGTTCTGTCTAATTATTTTCATCTTAAAAGCAATACTGTTTATATCTTCTGTTTAAATAAAAAACACAATCTAAATTCATATTGGGTTATCTTAACATTATTTTAATTTAGCTAACATAAATATCATTTGTATGTAAACATAGTAATATCCTTTTGAAAACAATATTATTCTAATACACGCGATTTGATTTGAAACACCTCTGCAAGATTCTTTAAATGTTTTTTGTCTATTTATTGATTTTTTCCCCACAAATTCTAGACCCAGACATAAGCGTTTAACCTTTTTGTTAGCTAAATAACTTACATGAACTTGTTTAACTTTCATTCTGTAAAGATCATTCATTATTTAAAATGAAAATATCAAAATAATGAACTGACTAAATAGGGAACATGCCATGATTATGCACAATTCGGTTATTACCATTATCAGGTTTGCAATGGTCAAGTGTTTCATCTGTTTGATTAGAAATCACACGGACACAGTAAAGACCATGCGGCAACTTTCCAGCTTTACTGGTGAAGTTTGACCTCCATTTCCCCTTCGTATTTAATTTCAGGCATGGACAGGCAATTGTGTAGAACCATGATTTACCTTCGGTAATCTAGCTGGAAAGCTTCCTCACATTAATGAATTCAAAGTCCCAGACGGGACTCTACCCGTGAGCAGTGAGGGGCAAATATTGTATTTCTTGTAAACCTGCCAATATGAGTTAAAGAAACAGTGACTAGGTATATGATTATCTTTAATGTAGATCCTTTATGTGTCTTTAGGAAAGTGGTATACAACGTACATCAAATTACAAGTGTTTCATAACATAATCAAATAAAAAACAAGGGCCAGTACTATATAAAAATGTCTCCACGTTTAAGAGGGTTATAATAACTGTCAGGGGTGTTATCACATTGATGGGAGGGTTACTATCACAGTAAGATGGTTACATGTATTATCACAATAAGGGGGTGTTATCAAATCGAGGGGAGGCTTATTATCACAGTCAGAATGTTACATGTATTATTACAGTAAAAGGGTGTTTTCACATCGAGGGGAGGGTTTTTATCACAGTGATGGTGTATTATGACAGTTAAGGGGTATATTCACATTGAGGGGAAGTTAATACATTGAGGGGAGGGGTGTTGTCACCGTCAGGGGGTATTATCACAGTGGTACTGGAGCAATTTGACGTGTAACACGTCACAGTTTAACTATTTATTGACTCAGTTTGCCTGATCCATTTATGAGGGGAGTCACTTGGCACATTTTGTAATGATACATCTTTCAAAAAATCTATAAAGAGAGGTAGTGGAAAAGCTTTATTAGATGTCAGATATAAACACATTTGATATGTTGCTACATGTACTGTGAAAACAAAATTGATTAAGGTACATCAGTCTTGAAATGAAAGCACGCAATGCATGCATTAATGAAAACGGAGATGTTAAAATTAATTAGCTAAGATTTAACATAAAATGCATTGATTCCCAATAAGAGTTACTTTTTTTTCTTTTACAACATATTTTAAAGATATGTTGTACTTAAACATCACCGGCTAAAGCTTTGTAAAACATGCACGGGTTCCATAAAAGATTACAAGAAGCTTGCCCGGCTGTAACGAAGCTCTGCTTAATTACAAATACAAGGGCCATAAGTGATGATATGTGTCGCCTTATGATAGCCATAACTTGGCAAAAAATCATACAACCTAAAAACCTGTGTAATATGCACAAGAATTCGAGCTATCGATCAATCCTGTAAAGTTTCATTGAAATTGCAATAGTGGTATAACAGGAGTAGTCCGGACAAATTTCAAAATTAAAATTATAAAAGGGCAAAATTTCTGACAAAAAACAATGAATCGAAAAATGTTGATGAGATGCACAACTAGACATGGTATTGATCATTCCCCTAAAATTTTGATGAAATTGCACCAGCTGTTTCTGAGGATTAGTCCAGACAAACTTCTGTGTAGCAATCAACACACAGAACACGGGCAATAACTAGGCCAAAAATCATTCAAGCGAAAAACTTGTGTATAACCCACAAGTACTTGACCTAAAAATTAATCTCGTTTCATTGAAATTACATTAATGGTATTTGAAAAGTAGATCCGGACAAATTTTATTATTTCAAGGGCCATAACTAGGCTTAAATCATTCAAGCGGAAAACCCGTGTAATATTCGCAAGTGCTTGACATACCAATCAATCCTGTTATTTTCATTGAAATTGAATTAGTGGTATATGAGAAGTAGTCCGTAGAAACATTAAAAGTTAAAAGTAATTAAAGGGCCATAACTCTGACAAAATTTATTGAACCATAAAAAGCCGATAATATGCACAACTAGACTTGGTACTGATCATTCCTGTAAAGTTTGGATGAAATTGCACCAGTAGTTTTTGAGAAAGAGTCCGGACAAGCTTTTGTGTATCTGGCAACACACAGAAAATTGAAGAGCCTTAACTCGGCCAAAAATCATTCAACCTGATAGCCCATGCAGCGCAAGGACTTGACTTACAGATCAATCCTGTAAAGTTTCATTGATATTAAATAAGTGGTGTAAGGGGAATAGTCCGGACAAACAATGAAAATCAAATAATAATAATAATAATTAAATAATTATTAATAATAATTAAAAATAAAAATAATTAAAGGGCAATAACTCAGACAAAAATCATTGAACCGGAAAATGCTGGCGATATGCACAACTAGACTTCGTACTGATCTTTCCTGTTAGGTTTGAATGAAATTGCACCAGTAGTTTATGAGGAGTAGTCCGGACAGGTCTTGTGACAGACGGACAGACGAATAGACAGACAGACGACGGAGAAGTGATCCCTATATGTCGCCACAACTTCATAGAGGTGACACAATAAGCAGTTTCCCGAGAACAAGTTCCGTTTGTACATATTCCTGGTATATAACTTAAAATTGTAGCTCGAAAAGAAATCATTAAAACTAATATCTTAATTAGCGCTATTTTCTTAATGTAGGTGATAAAATTCGTTCACAATATCGGCAGAATGACGTCATTAAAAGAACACGACACATCTTACGTAACTCTACATTTTCCAGACTCAGAGAAAAATTACCCAGTGTATTATATAATAATTATACAATCAAACTCAATTCACTTGTCAATCAATCAATCAATCAATCGCCAGGCCGCACTTGAAATCCTGTAAATGAGGATCTATTGTCGGTGTCCAGGAATGCAAAAAAAAAAAGAGTTTTCTTGACCAAATTTTGGATTTTTACTTTTTTACAATTTTCTGAATCTATGAAATATCATAACTAATTCCTGAACATTTTATGATTGTGTCTTTCTTATCTACAAAGATATATATACACAATTTTGTGTGTATGGCGTCCAGTAAATTAATAAAAATAAACATACAAAACTTTGATAATTGTGATGTTTAAAGGTGCATGAGGAACTTATGAAGCTAAAATGAATTTTGTGAAGAAGTCATTTTGTGTTATTAAAGTTAATCAATCTTGTAGAATAACTTTGGAATGCAGCCACCATAATTGAAGCATCATGTACATTCTGTTGTGTAGCAACAAGCCTAAGCCTAGTCCAGGGTTCTTCCCGGCCTTTTCCATGTAAAAGTCATGTGCTAGGTTTATTTTATATCACTTGCAACTGTCAACTCTGGGGGGGTGGGGCGCCAATGAAAATGACTCATGTATAACATCATAAAAAGCAGTAACACTAAATAAATGACATCATTACCCAAATACAACTTATAGGAAGCTATATTCTGTTACCTTGCAACCACGGAATATTCTAAATATTTGTAATTTATTTGTAACTTAACATATTTCTTGGTAAAATATAGCTAACACAGCAGCAGAAATAAATAATTTTCAACACAATTGCAAACAATGCCTATTTTTATTTTTCAATAATTTTCCATTTAAGATATTACATACATTCCATGTTCTGTACACTTGACTAGTGATAGTAAGCCATGTTAATTTTTAGCAGAAACTCAATATTTTACGATATATATTGTTCTGTATGTTATTGTTTACAATGACCAATAAGCATTTTATCAAATGTGAATTTCCATACTACATAAATAAGCTATCTGCTGTATAACTGGTTTATTTAATACGTAAACAATTAGTAACAAAAACAATCAGTGTTGCTAAGCAACCACAAAATATTCCATGATTTTCTTCTAAATGTTTCAGATTTTAAGCGCATTGTTGGCTATATGATTAAAATAGATCTCAAAATATCAAGATCAAAGCAGCAGGATTGCAAAAAAGCATCTATTAAAACTGCAAATACAATCTTAATAATAGTTCTTGCATCGAAGTATCCTTCAACTCACTATACATAGGTATTGAATTTTTATAGATATTAATACATATTTTCATAAAAGTATTTTCAGGAACATCTTGTGTTAACTACACTGTACCTTCACAACAAAGTAATAACTTTGAATTGACTAGCATAATAAACTGACATAAAGAAATTTCCTACAAAACAATTTCACTTACTTATAACTGTCTCTGTATATAATTAGGTTGCCTAGCAACCAATGAATATTATTTTTTCTAAATTGCTAAATTTCCAAATTTTTACAGTTTTACAGGCATATAGGAGATTAAGTTAACAAAATAGCAAGTATAAAAAAATATGAAAACAATACTACAAATAATGTCTAGCTGAACTTCCTAAGGTATTTAGAGAACAGCCTTGTCATTCCAATTCAATTCAGTATACATTGAAAATAATATTAATATTATGTTCACAACTTTTATTATCAGGTACATTTAAGGTTCTATATTTTGATAATTTATATAACGAAGTGATGATTATTTCTTCAACTTTATGAGACTCTTAAAACTCGTTAACTCTTAAAAATCCTTCGCAGCTGAAAGGATTTTTTTGTTGCCTAGCAACCAAGGAATATTCTTTGATTTTGCTGCTTCTTTTAACAATTTTCAGGATTTTGTGATAATTTTACAAAGTGATTCTACACAAATATCAACGTAAAAATTAAACTGGCCTATCATTGTTATGGATAAAGTATATTACATATTCTACAACTATAAAATGTTTAAAATATGACAACAAGTACAGAAGCTTATTACTTGACATTTTCATACAGTCATTTTCAATCTAGGACAAATCTTAAGATATAGCCACACAACCAACTAAAACTGTTTATCCATCTTGAAATCAATACTACAAAAACCTGCATCGACATGATTACAGTTGATCAATTCATAAATGCATAGGTTAAATGCAATTCTATAACTTAAAGTAAAATGACAAATGTTGTATTACACTAAACTCAATCTCATTAACATTTTGTAAATATGATGTCAATGAGTAACTAGTTACCTTACATTCAAAAATATTATAGGCAACCATTAATTAATATCTATACATCCATGGTCTGTTAATAAAGCGTATGTCCTTAGAGGAGAAGTTATGCAACAAAACACTTGTAGGCTTATTTTATGAAGCTTAAAGGCAATCATCTAACTTCTACTTGTATCATAATCTATATTTGAAATGAAAAAGATGATGACAGACCATATACATGACCTCTATGTTAAAGGAACCCCAATTATATTAAGAGTAATAGACTGCTCTTTCTCTTTCCGCCTTTTTTTACATTATTGTCAATATAAGAAGAAGAAGAAAAAGAAGAAAAAGATGATAATGATGAAGAAGCTTTATTCTTTCATAAATCTCACAATACATAATTGACAAAGCTATTATAGCTCATAGTCATACGATGTATTGATGAAAACGGTAATCTCATTACAAATGTATTGTAAGTCCTGTGTTCTTTAAAAGTAGGTTATAATATGCTGAACATGAAAAGCATTTAATTACAATAGCAAACACTATTTTCTTTTTACAAAAGTTTCTGTTAAAGGGAGAAAGTGATTATTTTTTTAAATACATGTACAAACAGTAGATCTATTTAAACGTACCAATCTAATGATATCTAAAAAGAAGCCATGGGTATCATCGACAATTTTATGCCTGTCTGGCTGTTACGAAACTCTGCCGAGTTACAGATAAACAGTTTTCCTTGAGCCAGGAAGTCTCGTCTGCACAGATTTCCTGTCATATAACGTAAGAATTAAGTTCACTAAAGAAATCACTCAGACTAATGTCTTAATCAGCGGTATTTGGTAAATGTACACATCGGCAGAATGACTATGGCGTCATTAAAAGCACACGACACATCTTACTAAGTCCCGGTATAAACCCTCGAAATGAAAACGTATTATAAGATAATCATACAATTAAACTCAATTCACTTGTCAATCAATCAATCAATCAATCAATCAATCAAACAAACAGTCAATTAATCAGTTGTTAGGCCGCACTAGAAATCCTGTAAATGATGATCTAAGGTCGGTGTATACAGCTCCAATGCCTGTACATCCGCCGATGTATACAGTATCTTTGGTATCTAAATGTAGGGCAGCAGAGACCCCGATAGAATATCCACCATCATCATTTCCTGCATTTGTTCCCGCCGGATCTTCCCTCGCACCGACAACTATAAACTGATTACGATATATGAAACATTCAACAAGATCTGTCAATGTTTTGTACATTTTTGAAATTTGGAAAGAGAAGAAATATATACCAGGAATTGTACATGTAAACTTCCCTGTAGCAATATCATATCCATTACCAATGTTGTCAATAATATGAGGAAAAACCAGTTTGGATGTTCCAGATACTCCGTATGCTGTAAATGCAACCATTTTATCTGAAAATAATTATGCAAAAAATACAGTTCAAGTTCAAATTTATTTGCAAATCAAAATAATTTTGCCTTTGAATATACATATAAAACATATACAAATTAGAACTTAAAATACATGTTACCTACACGAATATAATATTCTATTTATCACATACCCAAATTAAAGACTGTTTAAAGTGAAAATCAAAGTGCTGCAGCACTGAATGCGACGGACATGCAACCGGAGAGACATTAAGGTTTTTTTAGAAAAAAAAAACACAAAAGATATAACAGAGAAAATTTGTTCCATACAAGTTCGAGATTTGTAGAGCAATATATTTTATGTGTCCCAATCTGATGTAATTCAGATTTTCTACTTATACAGAATGAAATTTATGCCTAAAAACTCTGATCAAACTTGTAAATCAAGCATAAATAATACATTATACATGTGAGAATGTTATTTAGAATTGCTTCGTGTTATATCATAGTGGGCATATAGGCAATAAAATATAAGTCATTTGTATTTTTATTTCTCTTGGATATGTCTCATTAAAAATATTTTTGGTTAAAATCATCAGCAATTAAAAGTGTATTTTTTAGTTTTTTTTTATTTACAAGGTAAAGATGTAGAGGCCAGAGCACATCGTTTTTTATTTTAATTTAAATGTCACTTAAGCTGTTCTTTTCAATTTCACACTAAATTCCATTTTCTTACAATTGTAAGTATTGCATGTAAGCAAAGTAAGTATCCGCTGGTTTATTACATGTATAATGTGTACACTCTAATCGCCTGCAGGTGAAGCAGAATCTATTTTTAGAATAGCGAATGTTAACTCATATCGTGACCTAGAAAAATATGTAAACAAACCACAAGAATCGGAAGTAGAACTGATATTATAACTTCCTCCAATAAAGATTACCATGAAAGACTACATGGTAGTAAAGTGTTGAAAAAACTCTCTTGTTACATGCATTTTCAAAAATAGATATTTATACTAACCATTATACTGTATCTAATTTATTAATAACTGCTGAATATTCAGCTCAACCCGCGGTATGAGTCACGAAAATAGTTCTTCTTTTATTAATGCGCGAGTTATTCTATAGTCACGAAAAACTTTGATTTGTTAATAATTATGTTTGTATAATGTAGAAATATTTATGTCCTACTAATAATTTTTTGGAACTCAGAGCTTACACCTTTATTATAGTATAATTTGCTGTCCTACTTTGTCGACAGCTGTAAATCGTTTCGGCAGTAATTTGCATATTGCGCAATAATACTACGGGACTACAACGTTTTTATCAATCAAATACGTTCATATTTTAACTTGGATAACTTAATTTGAAATTGAAAAGGCTAAATATGGAAGATTTTAAGATATCCCGACAAAGTATGTGAGTTTTAAAGGATCAAATTCATGTACTATTTCATGGGCTGTTATTCGGTTGAGGACACTTTGCGCGATTGTAGCAGACGAAATCCCATGTGTAGATGACTTAGCTCTGAACGCGCCTGAGGGCGCGTCCGTCTCAAAAAGAATCATTTTTCATTGACGCGCCTATAGCGTAACGCTAATATTTGGCGCATCTTTTCACTATGTTTAAGGAGTCGCAAAAGCGGCACGAGTATGTGATAAAAATAGAAATTTCATACTTCTGCAGATTGTTTTTGATAAAAGAGCTAGAATTAAAAGAATTCTGGGACATGTACGATAATGATTTTTTTTTCAAATTAATAAGTTTGTCCAAAATATTGCTAAAAGAGTAAATTCGATAAAACCTATGCAAGAAAAATTATAATAATTAAAAGTCGCTTAAAATTATTAATGCAAAATGTTATTATCATTACTATTTTTTTTTTTTGTTAAAGGAAGTTGAGATAAGACAAACAGAAGCAGATGTTTACAGGAAATCGTCAACACAAGAATGACGTCTTGAAATGAGTATAAAAAATCGTCATGCAACACGACACGCTTCACATTTTAAATTGCTTTACAATTTTATGTTACGAGAGAAACAAATTAAAAGTAAATATTAAGTAAAAGATAATTAAAAAATAAATGAATGGTTACGGAATGGTTACGGAACAGAAATACCTGAGTGCATATTTGAAAGTCTTTTAATAGAATCTCCAATCGCCTCTTCAACTTGTTCTATAATCTCTTTTTTATGTTCATTAAAATCATTTGAGATGGCGGTGACCTCCTTGTTCATGAGTTGCGTTTCAGCTTCAAAAGATTTCATTTTACGTTTAACTTTTTCCAGCTCTGATTTTGACATATTTGTTTTATTCTCTAAACCTTTAACGATATCAGTTATTTGATTTTTAAATGCATCGTTTTCCTTTGATATCAGTTTTTTATGATCTTTCATTAGTTTTTCTGTTTTTGTTTTCAAAGCTTGAAATGAGGAACTTATCGCATTTGTTTCAGATAGTGCCGTACGTTCATTCTGTTTGAGGGTTTCTCGAACTTCGTCAATAAATTCTTCATATTTTGACGATTCAGTATATGTTTCTTGCATGCTATCCATTTCATCTGGATGCTCGGCGTTTGGTTTCAAATGTTCATGTTCAGTTGGAACCGTCCTCTTTTCTTTGTCAAACTGTTCCACGATCTCTTGCTTCAGATTATTTCGGTTGGAAACTAACGTAGAATAATCAAAACAAGTTATTAAGAAATAGAGGATATTTGTTTGTTTGTGTGTAAGATGAAATTTTATTTCATCGAGTGGGCTTTAAAAATACTGTTTTTAAAGTTCACGAGATGAAATAAAATTACATCTTACACAACAAACAGACAAATTTTCTTTTTATTTTATGCTTAAAAACAAGTTAAAACGAAATTTCCATAATTTTAACGTTAATATTAAAACTGTTTCCCCCATTGAGAGCCCCATTTATTCGGAATTTCTCATAAAAAAAAGAAGTCTTGAGCTGAAAAATAAGTCCGCCAATCAACATTAAATGACGGTGACATTTATTAATTTTATTAAAAAAATATGAATGATCGCTTGTTTTGATAATAAAAACAAACAATTCTTGTAGGAGAAAAAGTCCAACCATCCATCCATATTTCTGTTTACTTAGTGCGAATTTATATTAGACCTGGATTTGTAAATTGTAAGCGGCAGCCATTTTTTAAAGTTGTGTATTTCATGGAGGAAAATAATTGTGTAAGATTCAGAGAGGATATAATTTGGATTTGTTAGTCATACACATTTTTAAAAGAAAGAAAACTTATTTGAGGATTGTAACAGACAAAAAATAAGTGTTGACAGATGTGAAAACATTCAGAAAAGGGCTAGGAAATAGGAAAACTTGGAAACCTGCTCAAAAACGCTGGGTTGATTTAACTTATTCTTCGAATTATGGCTTGTCAATGCTTTCAATTTTTCATAAAGCATACGGCAAGTTATTGCTCGTAGGATACTTTAATATCCCCCCAAATGTCATCAAGAGCAGTTTTGCAATGGGGGAAGGAATGTATTTTTTGAGACTGTCAAAATGAAACAAAAAAACGAAAATTTGGTGATTGGAATTTCATGCAATTTGAATGAATAGAAGTAAGTTTTCTTCTTTTTTATTCTTTTGACATTTAAGTTATTTATCAATTTCAGTTTTGCTTTTTCTTTAAACAGCCTGACATTGTCAGAATTGTCAGCAAAAATAAAATTGAGGTACCACATGGGGAAAATCTTAAAAAAGTAGTTTCGTCATTGAAAAGAGTGAAATTATATTTTGATAATTTTCACTGTGAAATTACCAAATATAATTTTCACGGATAAATCAGTAATCCACTGAAAAGCATAAAATAAACTAATTTACTTGGTCAAATAATGTAAAAAAGCAGATCCAAGATTTTTAAAAGTTAACTCATTATGTCATATTTTGGAAGATTGGGAAAAAATTTTCCAGAATCTGATTTAGACTAATCCATAGCTTAAATTTCATAAATACAAGTGTAAAACATAAATCAGAATAAGAAAGACAAATTAATATTAATTCGTCTTTCACGTTCAGAGGCAAATATAATTCATTTAATATGCTAAGTATTGTCAAACTATTGATTGGTGATAAAGGAATGAAATATGTAACTGATTGATTTGAACGGTTTGAACAATTCTGTAACGTAACTATCTACATGAAACAAATCCTAAAACTGGCTAGATACTACTCTTACTTAGAGGAGAAACGACACTATTACAGAGTAAAACTACTAGTGTTGGCATTTTGTATTGAGTTTTCAATTACAGTTTTCCTTAAAGCATTTACAAAAATCTTATTTTCCGTGACAATTTCAGAATTGTTTGGAACAATGAAATATGCAATAGGCGAGTACTTTTGTTATGTTATTTAAAGCTTTATTTCTAATAATGGCGTTGATGATAAATATACCTGTACATGAATCCAAGTTGCATAGTTCATACTTCTGGGATCCACCTTGGCAATATTGACCAAATATTGATGGTGCAGGATTGTTACACAATCTTGATCTCATTCGGAGCCCCCCATGACACTCGCTCCAGTATCCCCAGTTTGACCATTCACCATCTTAAACAAAAAATGTTTCATTTGATATGGTATACACAGCCTCTGATATGATTTGCAATTTACATTTTTAATAATATACTTGTATGTTGCTAAATGGACATACTGGAGAATATAACTAGAATAGTATACTCAGTCGTATATGATGTGTATTAATTTCACATTTTTTTTAGAAAATAACCAATGCACTTTCAGTATTTGCATCACTTGATGTTTCAATAGAAATCATATATATCATTTTAGTTTTGACAGCTGTGTACTCGTCCAATGGAATTCAGTATTGAACTAACATTATAATATAACTTGAACCGCTAACCTTCTAGGGTAAGCAGGGCGCTTATTGTATGTCAATTATTCCCTTGACTTTAAATATGTCCTTCGTGGTTGAAATAGGAATATGATTAGCACCGTCTTCAACAATTAAAATTCGATTATTTCTTTATCTATTTTTAATAATTGTTATATCTTGACCGTTACTTTTGCTAAAACAATTAACCTCATGTGTATATCATATTCATATATAGCTCATACACATAAATGTCACAGGGTCATTTGTCATTATGTATATATACCTAACAATTATAATATCCTATATGATATTGTGCAATTCAATAAATATATTCTTCCTGTCCTTCCAATTTTCATCTTTTATGTTCTCCCATGGCCTCATCATCATTCTTCATATATCATAATTATACACAATTTGAGCCGTGTCACGAGAAAACCAACATAATAGGTTTGCGACCAGCATGGATCCAGACCAGCCTGCGCATCCGCTATAAGTTTCACTACTTGTTATTGTGTTGGTAAGCGAACAGCATGGATCCTGATCAGACTGCGCGGCTGCGCAGACTGGTCTGGATCCATGCTGGTCGCAAACCCATTATGTTGGTTTTGTCGTGACACGGCTCATTTATAGTTACTAATAGTGCTGGAACTAGACTCCAAGTACTCTCATATTTATTGTAGTAACTGGTCCCCGATTATAAACAAGAGTTTCATACACAACTTTATACCATAACTTACGAAATGGGATTTCTTTTTGCCATAAGTGCTGGGGGACTAAAAAATCCAAGATTGCGCAAAAAATTGAAATTACCATTTATTATTTATTTCTTAAATTTGTCAGTGTAACTATTAAACAGAGTTGTTTTTAACATTTTGATATCAAATATATTCCTAAAATGCAGTTTTAATATCCATTTATAATGCTAATAAATTTCAGATAATTATGACGAAATATTAAAAAAATGCTGTTTTTTTTTCTTTGTTTATTTTTTCAGATGCCTTTTACATATCCATATTATTTTCTTGTAATCAATAATGATTTGTTTTCTTATGACAGATTTACAGGAAACACTCTTAAAAATGTACCAATGAAAGTTATCATTTTAGTTAAATTTTAGGAAACTGTGTTTTTAAGTGAGTGGGCTAAAATGATACATTTATTTTTTATTTTTAAATACTCCAGATTATTATTTTGACTGCTTAAAGGACTTGTATTTATTGCTAATTACATATTTCAGAGTCATGACACTAATTTTGAAATATGAGAATATACGTTTTTTTCTTCAATTTAAAATCACTAAAATGTTTAACAGTCAAATTTCACACATCCTCTCAAAAAATTGTACACTCTATAAACTCTTTTTGGCATATTTCATAAAGATCCTACATGCATGTTTTGTGATGCCGGCTCGCCACGGCGAGCAGGTATACGGTAGGATTTTACTGAGAAACAACCTAAAACTCCGAAGCTATCCAAAATTTAATCGAAGCTTGGGCTTCCAGCTTTCTACAAAAAATTTATCTATCAGGGCTAGGATCCAAAATTATTTTAGCCAATCAATTTAATCTTACATAGCGTCAAAAAACCTTCAATTTTCACGCCATTTTTAAAAAATCAGCAAGTATTGTTTTTGAGCGCAAAGATATAATGATGATTAAAATGTTTGTCTGTATGAATTCTTTTTCAATAAATCATATTTACAACTGACTTCTGATTTAGCGAATTCACCTGTTTTCTCCTGTAGTAAGTTTTCGTTTTGGTTAATTTTAACATAAGTGTACATCTGGTTCTGTGCATTTTTTATTTTTCCTTTTTTTCCGGTCATTTTAATCCTTTCGGTATTTAGTGTATGTATTTACTGGCCGGGATCCGGGACGCCGGGTCCGGGATCGTATAAGATATGGAGGAAAATCCTAATGAACTATATTTGTGTTGATTGTTGTCGTAATGAAAGGGCCATTAAACGTTAATTTTTTTTATTGTATATTATGAACGTTAAATTAATTTAACTTAGAATATAGATATATTTTTAGAGCTATTTTATTAACAAACGTTTAAAATGCGGAAAAATCACAAAAGTTATAATTATATGCCTAATTTAATTGGAAAAATCAAAGACTATTTTCTTGAATTGGTCAAAAATCCCGGGATCCATGTTATTTTAAAAGGATCCAGCTTTTTTGAAAACTATATTTACTTGAACTGGCCAATCCGTGAGATCTATTTACATTTTAATACGATCCCGGCTTTTCTGAAAACTATATTCTTGAACTGGTCAATTCCCGGGATCCCTATATGTTTTAATAGGATCCCGGCTTATCTTAAAAATCATCTTCTTAGACTGGTCAATTTCTGGGATCCCTATATTTTTTAATAGGATCCCGGTTTTTCTGGCTGAATTGATTGACAAACTTGTGTTTACTTTAGGACTTGTGCCTCTCATTCCCAATACTAAATAACATACATGTTTACAACATAATTTGTATAAAGAGACATCTTTATGAAATCTAACCTATCTAATATTTTTGTGGTCAGGTCAAACAGGCCATATAGTAAATGTGGCATAGACATAGGTTCTTCAATCTGTTTACATGCACCTTCATATATTACTCATACTCATACTCATCTTTGGTTAAACTGAGAGAACTTTATATGTCACTTTCAGTCAATGAGTTTAAGATTTTGAATTGACTGGCCCAGAATTCCAGTTTTTGAATTTATTCTACTAAATAATTAACAAAATTTTCTTAAATTTACACTGGCCTGAACTTATATACACTGGCCATCGGGCACCGGGCCAGTGTTGACTTCACTTTTATTTTGTTGTTCGCTGAAGTCTCTTCAGCTAACAGAACTGTCATTTTTACATTTAAACACACCCCTTGAAAAAAATTACGAAGCGAGTCGCTACTAGCTTTTTTAAAAGCTAACCTTGTTGATATTGTTACTGTGTATGTACAACACTTGCAAAAATTATATATGTATATAACTATGCAAATAAAACAATTTTCAAACATCGAAAACTATGTAAAATGTGTACTGCAAATATTTGTGCACAGTATATTTAATCAATAAATTATATGCATTCATTTCTTATTAGAATTTATAGAAAATAAATTTCTTATTACCTCCCTTTATTTGCATGAAATGTTAAATTGGGTAATATCTTTACAAATAATGCTTATTGAAACTTACAATATTGTCAAATCTTAATTTGAGCATCATATTTATGAAATAAAACCATGAAAAATTATGTTACAGGATCTATAATTAAATATAAAACCCAACATAAAACTGTTTTAAATTTGCAATATTTAAAAATACACAAAGTACGATGACGGGCCTCAATTTTTTTTATTCGCTTGTAATTTAACCATCAAATTGTAGAAGATGACACATATCTAACATAATTGAATTCATTTCTAATTTAAGGAAGTGAAACAAATAAGTGAATAAAAAATAAATTGTGCGTGAACACTTTTCCTATATGAAGTAAATGAAAATTTTACCTTTAGTATACGAATACGTGTACATCACAAGAACAGCTATGCTTATATACGGTAATATGACCCAAGCCAGTATTCCAAATGACATTGAATTTTGTTGCACAATAACTGTTGATGTAGAATCACTTGAACCAGCACTATCAGACGCCAAGTTTTGATCACTAGAAGAGGCCATTTGCAAACTTATATCACTTAACTCTCTTCAGAATTCAAACAAGTTCATTGAAATTCAAATGGACTTATATTCATACAAGCTAAAAGGTGGCTTATGTTACCCGTAAGCTTTCCATGCGTGAAACGTGTAAACTGTATCTTCATTCAAGTATAGTAATAAAACTGAATACAATATAGTTGAGTGAAACTGGATCGGATTATTCTTAAGTATGTTAATAATGTAAATGTTATTTTAAAAAAATGTTATCTTTTTAACAATTCTTCACATTTTACTCTAAAATAGCATTTCCCTATTTACATGGTCGATTGAGAGATTATTTAGCAAGCAAGATGAAACTGATATTCTGACTGACGGAGCTTAATTAGCCGAGTGTCGCACACTTTAAAGGAGCTCCACTGAGGTTTGACAGGTAATTTGATGTCAAAAAAAAATTTAAACAAATTTCCACACAAATCACAATATTTTAACTAAAATAACAATAACTTACATTTTAACCAACCCTTTAGCAACAATTACGCTAGAAAATGCATTTTTCACATTAGCTTTTGGTGCAAAAATGAAAGTTGTTTTTTCCAGACATGTACAGAAGTTACCCACATTTTCATCGGGTATGACTAAAATACGCAAGGGAGATTTTTGAGACAACGGAGTAAACGGGGCAAAATGTCGATTGATTTTTCACAACACTCTAACCTATCGTGCTTATATAACTTGAGTATAATGAAGAAAAAATGTATAAAAGCTATTAAAAGTAGCAATTATGATGTCTTGAAAAATTAAACACCATTGAAGCGGACATTTTCTAGACAAAAAGGAAAAATTATTATTTACAATTATTGTCTTTGACATTTTTAAAATACTGTAAGTTTATTTATACCTATATTCAACCAAAAGTAAAAATATCTGTTAACTGAGAAGTTTGTTTGATGTATACTGAAAAGTTTCAATTTCAATATTTTGAATAAATTGGATGAAGATGAACATAGTGCATCGGTGATATTTATAATATAATTTGTCACGACATGTATTAACGCTATCTATTACGTATTTAAATCAAATACAGTAAATAACATTCCATCCTGTAAGAAATGATGAATTTAAAAGCATTTCTCATTTGATTTTCTGTTTTTGGGGTGGGGTGGGGGTTACATCGCACAAAAACCGTGTAGGTCATTATAGCGACTCTTCAGCTTTACTGGTGGAGAAAGAACTCAGGTGCCCCCTTTGCAAAATTGTTTCTGGCACAAACGGGCATCTGAGTATGTAATGAGTGGCGTTTCATAGGCTATCTTGATAGGATCGTACATACACGTTCCACACACACTCATTTCTGACCATTACATCAAATTCAAGTTTACTTCTGTCATTATGTATGTTATGTAATAGAAAGAGCATCGAAACACGAGCCTATCTGGTTTGTACGAGGGAGGGCGTAGGCCCCGAGCATAAATAAAATCGCCGAGTGTCGTGATGTTCTTTTTCTTTTGTATCATAAGCAAAATTAAATACACGTTCACTGTTGTAACAATATGAAATCCCAGAAAAAGGTAATCAATGAACCAGCTTCTGAATGTGACATTTCTATAGATTTTCCTGTCGTCACAAAAAGTAAACCCCAGAAAAAATGAGTCAATCAATGGGCATGCTCTGGAAAAGGTCCCAAAACTATGATAAAATAAAATTAATGTTTATGATTCTATTAGAAACTAGTTTAGAATTTAAGGATTTTTCGGTGAAAATGATACAGTTAAGTTGGTCTACAGATTAGATCAAAGTACTGAAGGCACTGAAAAAAGGATACACTAGCAACTTTAAGTAACACATTGTCACTCCAGTTTCACAGGTAAATGAATTCTATATGTCAGGTTTACGTCTTAATATCAGTATACCTTTGCTTATTGAGACTTTTGATTTTGAAAATAATGTAAACGAGTAAAATAAACCCTCTTTTATGGGCAAATAATTTAATGAGTAGCATCCCCGATTTCTCTTTCATAAATTTACTTCTTTTCAAATATTAAGAACATTCTGTCTACTACTTGAAATCTTCCTGGGTATAAATACAAAGGTGCGTTATCTTTCGGTAACAGGAAGAAAATGACAGTCTGTTCATTTGATCATGACTGTGAAAGAAATCATGTTTTGTGAACATGTCGATAAAGATTTTGCAAGCAATCTTGTGTACCTCTCTTATTTTTTAGTGCTAACACTTAGTATTTATTTCCAAAGAAAAATTTCTTAGGGACCTTAAACGTTTGATAACAGTATAATCACTATAACCGAAATACTTTGGAATTAATTGTAATGCCTGTAACTGTGATATTTTTCGTTCATGTGTTTAAAATACTAGAGTAGCTCTATTCAAAACGATATCCAGTATTTTCGAAACAATTTACAAAGGCTTTTGATACACTATCTCATAAATCTTAGTATTACGAGTACCACCCACCTAATCTCCAGAGCATACATACGAAAAACAAGATCAACAAGGAATGGTAGCATTCAATGAACGCAACACCCACATGACCAAGCAACACAGGGCCACAGCTAAGTTATCAATGAAAACTTTAATTTCAGGCTTTCAAGTGGAAAATAAAAAGACAAAACAAAAGAAAAAGAAAAACAGAAAGAAAGAAGAGATAAAAGTAGGGTTAAAAAAGACGAGAAAAGTAAAGATTTCAGTGCTATAAGACAGGAAAAGTAGGGTTATCTTCCTAACTTATTTATGCAATCAAATGCACCCGATCAATATTTATCCATTGCATTTTTTGAAACCAGTCACTCGTGTCTTAACAAGATAGTCGGGAAATGAACCTGAACTTTGAAGTTTTTTATCAAATCAAAATATTTACAAAACTATTAACAATGAGTATGTCATGATAAAACGGGCTACTAGGAGTAAAAACCCTGGTTAAGATATGCATCGCCCCTTTTCCAAGTTTATTTACCGTCTAGGAGTTGGAAGTATTTTAAAACATAGTTTAAACAATAACTGTTGTATTAGGTGAGGTTAATATCTTACTGAATTCTTAAAGTTACTTTTACTTACCTGCCCTTCACTTTTGTCTTGCAAGTATTATAATTTTGTTTGTTTCAATAATTTGAAATAAAGTTAGGGTTTAAAAACAACAACAGTTACTATATAATCAGTTTTAAGTTTATTTCACTAGTAATGGCAATAACCCTGCTATGGCAGCTTGAGTGTGTCGGGGGCTGCGTCCTGTGAACGTTGCCGTCGCCTTGTTGATCTTTATTCCAGTTTTCCTTTTTTACCCTTACACCGCTCTGAATTTCTTTTTCACCGGGAAGCTTCTATATATTGATAACATTAAAGCACAGATCAATTGACCCATCAATAGTAAGGAGGCCTTCCAATAATAAAGAAATTTATCAAGATATCTGCTCAAGCATACAATCAATAACGATAATAGTAATATTAATGATAGATAGTAATCTTCTTATCAACAAAGTTAACATCCAATCCAAATAAATATGCAAGTATGTGTGTAAAATGATAAAAATAAAATTTCAGATCTATTTAGCAAAGGACATCGATTTTTTTCTGTAGAATTTTAATTATATGCACTAGACATACATACAAATTACTTGTCTCTTCATCTCTAAACGTTGGTTTTCATCTTAATCTTCCTTGTTCTTTTTCTCTTTCTTTAATTTTTTTTTCTATTAAATATTATATTAAAATATTAAAATATCTATCAATTACAAATAATGCAAGTGCCTTACCACATAACCTAGTTTTGTGATTTTTTTTTTCAAAAATATTTTGTATACAATCAATAGAAGCGGTTGTGGTACACATTTGTTATATGCTCTTTACTTGCTCATCTACCAGCCATGTATTAGTTTTATTGTAATTTATCAATAATGGAGATTGACTTTAATAAGCACCTAGTGCTTCCGTCAAAATCCATTGCGTGTATTATGTTAGTATGGTTATGAAAATGTATGTATAATGTATGATTACAATATATGCAATAAATATGTTTAAAACAAATTTTCGAACTCATTCACTGGCCGTATACTAGTAGTTGAGTCGTCTTTTATTCTGCTGTTTAGCCATTAGAAAAATTACAGTGATTTAGTTTTTTTGTAGTAGACAAAATACCATTTACGTTGTCACTATAGTCTGTCCCATTAGAAATGGAAATGAAGTTTTGCCTGGTGTGAATTAACGAATCGAGGTTGAATAAAGATTAAACTATTTTTGTAAACTAAAAAAAAGTCACCCTCGAGATTTTTCAGGATTTTACTCTAAAGTGTCTACTTTTCTTGTGAATTTCTCTATGGTAAATCTCTGTTGTTTATTTTCCGTAGCCATTGCCGAAGTATTCTTCATTTGAAGATGAACGGGAGAAAGCACGTGTCATGTTTCTAAAATATACATGAGGTTCTCGGGGTCGTTTCATAATTATTTTACAAAGCTGGATTTACAAGATGTAACAGTTTAGTTGCAATGCATGATGGAAATCTTTAAAAAATGAAAAACAAGCAATAAGAACACCGAGTCACATTGAGTAGATCTACAAATTGCACTTACTTTTAAGCTGAATAGATCCCTACAGTATGAATTTCGAAATACATCTTTATAAACGTCACGACAAATTCGCATTCTGAAGATTCCTTCATTGCCAGTTTCTATCCAGTTCCGTAGACTTCAAAACTCCTGAATGACATGACTCCTAATGATGGATGATCCAGTTTTTTTAAACTGTTACAGTAGTCTAATCCGTCTCATTATTAAAACATTGTTCAATCTGTGGAGTTATCTGGGTTAGCAAATGAAATATGTAAATGAAACACATCATAATTCAGTATGTTCCAAATCCATAATTCAAAAACGGCCCATCAATTTTAGTTGTCAACTGTGACATCACAATATTTATAACTCTTGAAAATGGCTTCCTCACGGTGATAGGGCGTTTACCACAACTTTTCCGCGCAACGTCAAAATATAATACTTCTGACCTGACACCGTATATTTCTGGACAAAATATTAATGGCGGCATAACGAAATTCCAGGTAATAGCTTAAAAATATCTTACTGCTGGACATTGCAAAATCATTCCAATTGTTTAAGTAC